TTTCTACTAAGCTCTTCTATAATAAAATATATATGTATATATATATATATATATATATATATATATATATATATATATATATATAATTATATTATCACAAAATAATTTGACCAACTTTTTGGTAAAATTTTTAACATACTAACTATTTCTTAATATGTATAAAAGCAAAGCTACATATAACTTTAAAGAAACTTCTTTATTAAATGTTATTAAATTTATCTAATTTTATATATTTTTATCTATTTATATTATTTAGATAATATTTTGAATAAATATGGATATTTGCCACGTTATTATCTCTTTCAAAAAATAAATTCTTTGAAGAGCAATAATTACATGTTAAAGAAGTCTAAGATGCATTGAATTGTGCTTGCCACATATTTTCATCTTTGTTCTCTTTGAAGATAATTCATATATCTTCTAAGCCATTGATAGTATCTTATATCATCGCATAAAGACCACCTTAATATTTGATTACTGTTGAGGCCTTCATAACTACTTTCAAACAATATATTTGAAACTCAATCAAGAGTGGTTCCTATCTCTAATAATATCACCAAACATTAAGAGTCTCTTATAAAATTGTGATATCAAACATGTTGTATTTTGCTATCTATTCAAGAAAAAATATATCATTCTTGAGGATCTTCATTCCTATTATGTTCTTTTGAAAGTTATAACAATTATAATGTCTTGTTTAATAACTCTCCAAACAATAGTTTTTGAATTGAACATGCTTGTTGTTGATTTTCCATCTCTTTAGAAATATAAAAAGAAATTATAATCAAAGATAAAAAAATAGAATGTAATCTTCATTGAACTTCATGTCTTTTATAACAAAAAATTGTTTGATTTTTCATCTTAATTTTGATAGATGTTATTGATGAAAAACTTTGATCTTCTTTGCTATATTTGTAAGATTCTTAGATGGTTCCTATGTGTATTCATTAATATCATATGTACATTAATGAATAAGATATTATTATCTAAGTTGGCATTGCATTAAGTCTAAAACTATTTCTATCTCAAATTCTTGATTATTATCTACTTCTACAAAAAGTGGTGGCATTCATCTTTTTTTGGAATATTCATTATCTTACATGGCTTAAAAAGAGATACATGGAATACAAGATGGATCTTCATGGACTCTAGTAGATGTAATTAAAATGCAACTAGATTAATCTATTTATGAATAAAAAATTATCTAAATCTATAATAATTTAACTTATCACAATAGAAGCTAGTCTTGATATTATGATAAAGTAACATATCTTATTGTCAGTGTAGAATTGAGGTTGTTTCTTACAATAGATATTTATATTAATATTCTATTATTTTTAAACTTCATTTGATTATACGTTCATTATTATATATAGCTCTAATAAACAATTTGCCAAACCTTTTGTCATATGATTATCAACTTTTGAAAAGTCAAAAGTATGAAGTTGTAGAAAATAACCATAATAAACATAAAAGGTATAATTGTGCTTTACCTTTTAGAACATATAAGCATGTTTTAAAATATAATAGATTATTTTTTAATTCAAAATTAGAATTATTATAAAATTTAAAAGTACTATTTCTAATATTAAAAACAAAGAGATTAAAGAACATATTTGATTGAACTTGCTTAAGAAAAATTGAATCAATAGTCAATATTGATTTTATTGCTCAGAGATGAAAATTTTCTAGCTTCAACAAAATTATTCTTTGTCAATCAAAAGTTGTATTTTTTTTTCTTTTTATATAATATAAGAATGTTTAAAAAGAGTATGTAATCAATATGTAATCTTAAATAAAAATTTTAACAAAGATATGTTCTAATGGACTTAATTACAATTTAAACTACAAGTTGAAATAAAATACTTGGAGTATTTGTCATCTGTAAAAACAATCATTAGACTAAAAGCATCTTCTAGATAATAAATTCATTCTTGAAATAAATGAAGAATTTCAAAAAGTTATTTATTGTAGATCTTATAATTGATCTCTATTGTTAATAAAATTTTAAAATAAAAAGCAACAAAGTAGAATCTGTCATCTACTCTCATTTATAATAATATTATACCCAAAGCAAAATTTTCATAAAGAATGCCTTTGAGAAGTTGACATAATAGAAGATTGGTGCAAAACTAAAAGCTATCTTTAAAGCTTCTAATACTACTTCGTCTTTTTTACTCCGCTCAAATTGGTCTTTACAAGTCAAACATGTAAGAAGAATTGCAACTTGAAATTTTTTTTTTGATTAAGATCCAATAGTAATTGAAAAATATCAACAAACCTTGAACATTTCTAATTATTATTAAAATTTTCTAATCCATGATAATCTAGATCTTCTTAGGATCCATCATAAGGCCATAATTTGAAATGATGTATTCTAAAAATTCAACTTAAGTAGTGTAAAATATTTTTTTATTATTTTTTTATCTTGATATAAAATTATATATATTTTAATTTTTTTAATACATAAAAAACATGAAGTTTATATTCTTCCATGTTTTTAGAATAGATTAAAATTTTATTTAAATAAAATATTATAAATAATAAAATCATCCAATAATTTTTAAAATATATCATTTATTAGATGTTAAAAATTAGTTGGCACATTTGTGAGGCCAAAAGGGACAACATTATATTCAAAATGCCTATACTTGAATCAAAATAAAATCTTCCATTCGTCTTTTTTTTTTTATGCATACTAGATTTTATGATACTTGTAGATCTATTTTTTTATACATCTTGGCTTGATTCAATAGATTAAGAAGTCCAAATATCAAAGGTAGATAATACTTATTATTGATGGTAATCTTGCTAAGCCCTTGATAATCCAAATACATCTGCAATGATTTTTTTTTATTTTTTTTTCATAACAAAATAGGAGCTCCTATAGGAGATTTTTAATGGCATATGAATTTCTTGGTGAAGTTCTCTTTAATGTATTCCTTGAATTCAATCAACTCATTTTGTAATAAATTATAGATTTATCCAAATGGTAATTGAGCTCTATCTTGAAGGTCAATTGAGAAATTGTAGGGATGATGCTCAAGAAGAATTCTTCTATTTGTCCTTTCAAAATTATCTTAATAAAATTTATATTGGCTTGAAATGTAACTTGAAGCCTTTCTACTACTAGAAACACGTATTACACAAATACCATAAGGTGATTCTTCTTTTGTAGCATGCAAGAAAGCTCTTGCATCTACAAATAAGAATTTAGTTGTATTAGATTTAAGATTTTTTATTTAATTAAAAAAAATCTTAATTATACTTTAGAAAAAATTTATCTACAAGAAATATAATTTATTTGAAGATTATACTTTTTTAGCCATGATAAATCTAAAATGATTGGATTAGAGGGAGATCTAATGATATTAAAAATTACAAAGATAATATGACCATTAATTGCTTTTTTATATAAAAAAGATTTCATAGATAATATCTCCAAAAGCTAATTAACAATTATCTATGACTTGTACATGTATTGGTTTAGTTTTCTTTATTAAAAATATGCTATATCTTTTAACAAACTCTTCATTTTAACAAACAAATTGAAGCTCTTGAATCTAGCAAGGTAGATGTTTTGTGATATTTAGGTTCTAAATAAATATCTATTGTAAAACAAGAAGAGGATTTTGAGGGGAGAATAGGACTTATACTATGTATTGTACAACATTTGAACTACACAATCCCTATTGTAGGTGGATAAACTTGTTGTCCAACATATTGTCTTTTTTAACAACCATACTCCTCATTTTGTAGTTGTATTATTCTTTGGATAATATTCAAAAGTATGCTTAAATTTGCCATAATATAAGCATAATCCTTTTTAACAACAACAATTTTATTTTATTTTATTTTTTTTTTGAAATTTAATAAGAAGCTTAAAACATATTGTATCAATTTGCATGTCTTCTACTATCTAATGTATATATTGAGAAGGGATAGGATTTAGGGTTTAGGATTTAGGATTTTTTAATCAAAATATTTTAAAGTAAAATCTAAAATATTAGAATTTTTCCAATGCAATAACTTCAACAACTAATGCATCATATTATAACTTTATTTGGAATTTCTTCTAAATAGAGAAAGCAAAAATATTTGAAACAAACATTTGATGGCAAATAGCCAATTAATGCATTCAAAACAATAGTCTTAATTTTCTTAATGGTAAAACAATTTTAAATGCATTATTGATTAGATATTTTTTTAAACAATTTATCTTTGGAATTTATTCTTTTTAAAAGAATAAAATTAAGGAATGTTTTTAAGAGATTAAACATGTAGAATCTTAATATTGACTTAATAACTATATTTTCTTTCAAATATGCCATAGGTTCTATAATATGCAAAAGAATTTGCATGATATAGAACATAGTAACTATCATTTCTATAATAAGACAAAGAAAAATTTAAAATTCTTAAATAAAAAGAATTGTAAAGAATCCAAAATTAGAAAGACTCTCTTAAAGTCTTCTAATATTTTTAAATATAAAGTGATTTAATAACAAGACACTTATACCATGAGAAAAACCCTCTTTATCTTCTTCAGACCTATAGAATATAATTTCAAAGAACAACTCTAAGCAGAGCACAAGATTACTTAGTCCACTCTTGATGCTTTCAATTAATATTATATAGAAACATGCTCCATCTTCTCCCTATCCATACAACAAGCTATATTCTTGAATTGGCTTCTTAAAATTATGTTAAACTTTCTTTCACTTTTCCTCTGACCCTGATAAGATTTTATGCAATTAAATACAAGAGGGATTAGGTCAAAGTGAGACTCCCCTTAATAGAGCCTCACCATAGAAGCATCACACCCGCAACCACACCGACAACGCCCAATGTCCCCGTATCGAGGGCGGATCCAATGAATGGCCCAGACAATCCCGATGCAATGACTCCGGCAACCGAAGAATCTCGCCTGACGAGGAGCTCCACATCCTTCTTGCTAGCGACCCACAATCTAACTTCTGCCGAAATTTCCAACCATTTGTGGATTCGGGCGCAGGTGGCGATGGCGATGGCCTGGGGAGAGGGAGTGTGGATGCTTCGTGGCCAAGAATCATCGTGTGGAAAACCTTTCACGCAGTTAGGTGTAGCACTTGATAAAGCGTTGGGGACAAACCTTGCGTTTGGATGGTGGGCGGATGAGGACGCTCAACTCTTGAATGTGCTCGTCGACCGCATCGCATCGCCCATCCCAGTGGCTTCCAACTATGAAACCCGTCTTTTCTCGATGCGTGATTACTGTTTAAATTGCGGAAGCCTCCTCGAATGGTCGGTGCGAATGGGTTTTTTTTCTGACCCCGTGTAGCGCTTCGGTGCAGTTGAAATTTGAGTTGGAGCTGAGGAGGGGCTGCGGGTTTCTTCATTGCTGAGTTGGCTTCCACATTGCTTGCGCGATTTGCAGGTACAGAGGTATCTCATTGCGCTCTTGTGGTTGCGAAATTTGTTTTGTGTATGTAGTGTGGCTTACAATTCGGGAGTTGTCCACGACTTACTTGTCTGTGTAGTTACAGCGGAAGAGAGGGATTTCTTGGGCCTCTGGTAATGCGGTGAAAGAATTTAGCATCTCCTTGAAGTCATATGCAAGAAGAGTAAATTCACGCATTAAAGATTTCCACTTTAACGTTTGTCGAACACGCGGAATTTCTTGCATTCTCATCAAGCGTCCCTCACCAGGAACATCAATATCGCTTGAGTTCAATGGCTACAGGGGCCTTAATGTTTAAGGTCCCCACAACAGTACTGGCTCACGGGTCTGGGGTCTCAAAGCGTGCCTCCAGAGACTTGTTTGAGCGGGATTTTAGTTCAAACTTTGATGAAGGTTCAGGAGAGAGAGCTAGACATGGAGGGGTTAGAACTGGCAGGAAATGGGCTACATTAGTTGTTTCACGAGCGTCTTCGACGGCACCCGTGTCACCATCACCCACCATAGCAGAGGATTGCAAGTAAATCCACTTATCTCTTTCCTCAAATTTATTCTGTTATCCTTGGATACCTGCCAATTTCATGTGGACTACGGTTCTTTACGATTCTTAAACCTACAAACCTCGCTTTCAGGAACACGAACTATTCATCTTGACTAGGCTCTGTTTGACATCGTAATCGTAAGTGCGTGTCCGATCACGTTATCAAAATTTTGCCTCTCTCTGCTTGATTACTCACAGACATGACCTATGCAGAGAATGCAGTGTACTATTACGCACCACCAAAGGATGTGGGTTAGGCGTGTCGCGATACCCGGACTTTGTGTACAACGCAGAGGGAGGCGGGGGAAGAGGTAAGGCCGTGAAAATGGAGGACGGCCGTTGGTCTGTGAAATTCGATGCAGCAGAGGTCAACATTCCAGATGTGGGCTTCCGCACAACCACACTATTGGGAATCCCACTTCCTCCACCTATCAAAATCGAAATCGTCCCAGAGTTCCTGGAAGGCATTGTGGATCGCGACACTGGCAAGGTTAACGCCCCAGCTCTCTCTCTCATACACACACAGCTTTATTAGGATCTCGAAGTGTGAATGTGCAGCAGTTCGATCAGCTTCAGTTTCATCAATCTGCATCGAATCTGACAGTCAGAGGATAGTTTCCTACTCTTCTTCTGGCTTTCCTTCATTCCTTATTTTTTAACCCTTGGTTATTGTCAAGCTTCACTTCCATATGTTTCTTGATTTACGTTAAACCTCCATACATTCTTCTATGAACCGGTTCAGAACCTCGTGTTTAAAAGCATATGAATGGTGTTGGTTGTTTTATTTTGTTTTATTTTGTATTGTTTTGTTTTTTGTTTTCTGTTTTCTCTTCGAAGAGAACTTGATATTCATGGTGTGGTTGGACAGGTGGAACTCAACTTCCTGGCCAAGTTTTTCTTCTCAACTGGGCCTTTGTACCGCCCCTCGCCCCTGATTGTTGAGACATTGCTAACGACAGAGAAAGCACAGGGTGAACTCAGAGGAGGCACTGGGACTCGGCTGGATGCTGATGGAAACTGCCGGATGGTGGGAGTTGCTAGACTTGCCCCCATTGACGACCTTTTCATGGACACTTTCCTGATGATGCCCACCGATTGCTTGGCCGACATGGCAGCTAACATCACCTTCACCTCGTAGTGGTTTCATTGCCTCCGCTTCATGATCTCTGCTGCGATCATTAATATTCATTTCACTCTTGCAATCTGTACAGGTCCGGTCCATGTTCAGTGATAGAAACCAAGTGTGACTTCTATTTCAACCTTGTGATTGATCCTTGTAGATACTTGTCTGGATGGACGAATTGATGCTTAATTGACCTCCGAACGTCGGGGATTATCTCAAACAAATTTGATATTTTCAGGCTCAACGATGCACGACTTCCAACATGTGTATTTACCACTTCAACGCATTGATGCTCCTCTATAATTTCTGCACACTGGTACTACATCTCATTAAAATGTAACTCCAAAATCTTATACTACAGGCACTCTTTAATCATGCAGTGAATCTGCACACTAGTACCACATCTCATTAAAATATAACTCCAAAATCTTATACTACAGGCACTCTTTAATCATGCAGTGAATCAGAGCATTTAGTTCAAATAATGCAAGTTTTATGGTTTAAAGAGGAAGATTGTGTGCCTCCATCCAATGAGGTATAGTTATGGAATCTAAAACAACTTTTACTGATTCAAAATATCTCTCAAAGTTCTATGTATACAAATGATATTTTGATAATCTCAACTTTTTCATCTTATGCTTGTAATTTGTAAAGTTATTAATAGAAATCCATTATGAATTGTACCCAAAGATAAACTTACATGGAACCACTATTACACTTGCACCAGATTTCATCTTTCAAATCAAATTGTTCTAATCTCCAAAATAATTAACTTGCTAATCAAGCAAAACAAAAATATATCCCCATAAGTTGAATTACAATTTGTAGTAGTACAAAATACACACAAATGTGTTGAATAGACCAATGCTTTTACTAAATAGACCCACTCTTGATGAAGATTATGGTAATCATATTGAATGTGGTTAGTTTTTATTGGTTGCAGATCTAATAATGGACAAGTGAATCTAAAAATCTTTTTTTTTTTTCATAGTGGTCAAGATGGGTGGATCGACTTAGTAAAAATCTGGGTCTATTTAACATTCTCCTACAAATATTAAATGGCCCACATCACAACATTATTTAATTTCTATACACTACCTCCAAACCAATTCAGACAATACTGAGTACGAACAAATATAACTATTTGATTGTAATTAATGTTCGTAACTGTTCAAAGATAGCACATCTTCACGCTGATGTCATTTCATCCACATCTGAAATTTCGCAAAGATATTCATGGATTTGAACAGACTTTCTTCGTTTCAGCTCGAGAGGTCGGTGATAGGGCGAAATCTTAGGACACAATACAATCAGATGGATCCCGGAGACCGTCGATAACGAATCGGAACACGCCACGTGGACTCAGTGAGGCAGCCTGTATGAACTCCGAGTGGGGCTGACTCAGCTTTCGAGTAACATGGGCGTGCGTCGCGGCATCGCCTCTCCCATTCTCTTACACTTGACACAGCTTTTCCGTTGATTCACCTCAGTCTCGTATGCCTCACTTCTCTCTTTCGTCGTCTTCTTTCTATCCACTCTAAAATTTTCCAACTTGATGCAGAATTACCCCAGACTGAGTGTTTTTTTCTTTTTTTCTTTTTTGCTTTTTCGAGAGAGATACCGTTCCTTGAGGTGTTTGTTTCATGCTATTGGTGCATTTCTGAGTTGAGGTTTAGAGGTCATCCTTCCTGTGAATCCCTTGGCTTGTTCTCGATTGACTTCATTTCGCTGAGGAGGTCTGTGTTCGGATATTGTGACAATTCCATAGAGCAGGATAGCAATGTGAGTGAGAAAGTCCTTTCATTGAGTTTTTTGTGTGGTTCTTGTCCAATGGGATTAAGAGAGGTTTGTTTATCCCATGACATTTAGAATTTGTTAGAATGTGTTTCGTGGTGGTTTTAATTCAGAATCCGAAGCGTGTTGTGCTGTGGTGTGATTGTGTAATTGGGAAGTAATTCAGAAAGTTTTGTGTGCCGTGTGGGATTAAACCGTTGGGATTGCTTTATTTCTAACTTATAATCGGCGTTGAACCGGAACGAATGTCTTTGAGGACTCTTTGGAACCTTGTAAATTAGGGGAGCAGGGGGGGAGTTTAAGGGTTAGGGCTTGAAATTGTAGAGAATTTTGAACGATGGTATTGCATCTGATAATGCATCCGGCCTTATCGTGGGGAGATTTTGCCAACTTGTTGTCATGGAGGCGCTAAACTTCCCTTCATATATACCCCAAATTATAGCTTTTACAATCCCTGTTTTTCGGATTTATGTTGTGTAGGTGTTTAATTCACACTGTTCCGTGATGTTCAGTCTAATCTTGCTACGCTCACGTTGAAATGTGTTTGCCCAGCAGCTGAGCAAAGGCCAGTCTGCAAATTTTAATATACAAATAGCTCAAGATTCAAGAACTATCTTACATCATCCACGAATTTGCCTAACATTTGAGGTCTTGAATTTGTTTCATGCCGTCGTATGCTAACACGTTGTGTTCACCTTGTTCTCGTCTTTTGCAGGTCCTTGCTAGGTTTTCATAGTCATCGCAATGTCTGTCTAGGCATGGACTTGAGAATCGAGTGCTTCACGCAAAGTAATCAGACAGTGGAGTGAATTAACGGGACTGTCATCCAGGGTTTGTAGGATGGCAGGCCATGAGGATGAGCTCTGTGCAGCTCTCATGCGGCTCGCACTCGCTGGGGATGGTCTGGTTATGGGTGTCGGCATGACAGTGCTGGCCTTTCGTACATGGATCAAGTTTTGGTCGCACTCGAAGGCTTTGAAGGATATTAAAGACACTCCGGTGACACGCATTGCAGACCTACGTACTCTAGTGGAAGAGCCGGATGTTCAAGCTAAAGAAAAAATTAGAACCCCTGAGAAGGTAACCTTTGCGACTTCTTTTTGTGGAGTAACTCGATTAGCCAGTATGCATTTTGTTTTGCGGTAATCTATCGTTGTAGATCTACCGTATATTTTGCATTCGTTTTTATTTTTTGATACTCGTGATCCTAGTGCTTGTTGAAGTTGTTACATGTATATTTCCCGTTTATCTGAATGCAGTCGGTTGTTTAACACAGTAACTTTAATTGAATGTCTTCCCATTTACTGCTCAACTCATAGAATGTTGGTTTGTTTTAGCAGATTAGCCCTCCTCATCAAGACATAGAAGTGTTTGCAACAAGAAGCAAAGTGAAAATGCCCTCCAGGCCTTGGATGGTAGAAAGGCTACCTATACCATCTCTCGAGACAAAGCAGGAGAAGCTGGTAATTGTGAGAGGTAGAGTACAGACCAAAGCTTTTGTCGAATCTGAAGGTGATCAAAGAGATGCTGAGGCTCTCATACCTCTTAATGTACCCGAGAAAGCCGTTTTTGTCGAGAGAACTCAAACGGTATGTTGTGATTTCCAGAAAGCCCTGTTTGTCTTATGTCTTTCTTATTTGCTTTGAATGTAAATTGATAGCTGTAATACTGTAGTTGAGTATTGTATCATGAATGATGACACCGCCAGACGTCCTCTGCAGCGGCTTTATGGAATCTGATAGCTAGCACAAATCGATGCATCTTTGGTCATTTGTGATGCGTGCTATAATGTGGTTAGAAACGTCCATCGTGGATTAGATATTCTATCATGCTTCGAATATGTTGTGTAGATGTTAGTGCTGCTGTGGGCATAAACTAGGCTCATTTTTTTCGTCTGTGATTGTTGAATTCATGTATGTAGATTGCTTTAGAATTGATCTTATATGAGAGAATGATCCATCTCACTAATCTTCGGTCTAGGTATTTCAGTACATAATTAGACAGGTTGTAATTCAGGGTTGTCTTTCTTGCTATGGCACAGTATGTGCTCACTGAGATGAGCAACTTTTTGGGATGGATAACACAAAAAGACCTGGTCAAATTTACTCGTCAAGTGGTACTCCCTCTACCTTTAATCTTCCTCTACTTTCTTTCTCTAACTATGATACTTTTTCGCATTGCTGCGATTCCAATTTGTGATGGTTCCCAGTGTTTGTACAATCAATGGAGAGGCATTCTTAGGCTGGGCTCTTATACGCGAGCCCTTTTGGGATCGGATTCTCTCAAAGATCAAGTTTTGTTATCAAGGCGCAAGGTAATTATTTTTGGTTTACTACAGTGGGTCCCCTTGGACGATTGCATCTCTGAAATACCAAATGCGCATGTCGCCATAGGTTTTAAATGTTTAAATACGAATACTTTTGGAGGTTTTATACTTTTGACTTATTATTTTCTGAACTTTTGGCTGATTAGAGCATATTTACATATTTATGCTGGTGGAATGTTTCGGACCTCAAATATGCTTGAGGTTATTGATGAGCAGTTGATGTCTGCGTTTAGATATATTCGCGAATGAATTAAGAGTTTATTTCTCAAACCACTATTAAGAGTTATCTGTTTGTGTGTTTTAAATTTCTAATAAACAAGATTATAATTTTTTTGTAAGTATGGATAAATGAATTAAACACATATATTAATAAATCATTGAATTGAGATTTGCTTGGCTTGGACCGTCAAAAGAATGCCTATATGTCGGATGATTTGTAGAAGTTCCAGTTGAACGAATAGATTCTCAACGTGTTGCACAATCGTTTCTGTATGTCGTTTCGATGAGAACAGGTGCCCTTTGTTTTGGCTGAGACTGAGGCTCATTGGAGTTTCCGACCTAGCGACATGGCGGTTTATGTACATATTAACCTGGACGAATCACAACATCCCATACCACTTGTCACAGTTCATCACCAGTTGCATCCAGTACCGGCCTCATCTTACACGCTTTTTCAAGCTATGTTTGGGCGTCGCTACCCGGTCAGTTTCTGGCTGTAATTAATAGTTTAAAATCTAGATATTTTGGTTCTTAATGTAATTAACTAACATAATGAGATTATAACCAAATATACAGTTAAACTCTATCTATCATTGCATGCTGCTTTGAATTTTCTTTGACTGGCTTGACCAGGCACTAAGCTCTGGTAGTTGATGGTTTAAATTTCTTGCCTGATGGATCTTAATCGGCACAGTTGCATGTAAGCTTTAATCACGATGTCTTATTATTAGAAAAATCTGTTACGTTACCTTTGTTCTTGCTACGTTGTGATATGCTAGGTTGGCCTCTTGGACGAGGAGAAGATTTTACCACTTGGCGCAGAAATTACTGCGGTTGGTGTATTGCATACTGCTCCAGACGGAACTCCAGTTGTCAAGTCTTCGAAACGTTTGCCTATATTTCTGTATGTCCTTCCAAAATTCAAGAATACTCTTCTTGTTTTTTATTACTTACTTTAAAGGGTCTCCACGTTCATGTGTGAATATGTCATTCGTTTTTTTGGTTTCCGTCTTTCGTATTGCATAGTAGGCATCTCCTTGATTAGTCAAATGTTAGGTTTGTGATGGTAGTGATGCTGTAACTAGGTCTTCTTGCTTTGACCAATGAAGTGCTGGGTGATGCAGGACGGAATTCACTAGAGAGCAGCTGCTTGTAGAGTTAGCGAGCAGTACCAAAGTATTGTTCTGGATGGGTGTAGCAGTCAGCACCGTAGCAGCTGGTGTTCTCGGTTATTCTTTAGTGAAGTACGTTACTATACCTAGATGGTCCTGTTGTCTGGCCCCTTTTGTTCCAAGGACAAGGAGTGCCAAGGAGATAAATTAGATTCTTGATCAAGGTCATGTTCCCACTTGCCAGTATTTGCTTGTCAGGGTTTTTTGCACTTTTATAATTTTTAGGTCTAAATCAAAGTCCTGATCTTTGGAGTTATGCAGAAATTGGACGAGATGGAAGCAAAGGCAACAGCAAAGGCAAAGCCAGAACAACTCTGAGAATAGGTAATTTGTCAGCTTATATGCACTCCAACCCAATCAATCTTGTATTCTGCCTTTCTCGGAAGCTAAGTTTGTTTCGACCAAACGCTGTAATCCAATTCTATGAACATAATTTTTTAAGCCAAATCAATCTCTATTCCAAGTTTACTATCTGTATTAGTTGCTAATGTTTATTTGGATTACACTAACAGGCAGAACAGTACCATAGAGGATGAGGCTGAGAATTTCGAAGACATCCCAGATGGCGAGCTCTGTGTTGTGTGTCTTTTGCGGAGGCGACGGGCTGCTTTTATTTACTGTGGTCATCGCGTTTGTTGTATGGGGTGTGCCGAAAGGGTTGAGCATGGGGCTAATCCTCGCTGTCCAGTCTGTCGGCAGTCAGTTACTGGCATTGTTCGAGTGTACGATTCCTGAGATTACAGCATTTTCCTTCCTCATTTGCGACCTTACTTGCATGAGTTGTACTCTTCCCCACTACATATTTGATGCAGCTGCGAGCTCCTGGAACAACGGCTTTAATTGCCCTACTAAATCTGTAGCTAAGGTACCCGGGTCGGGATCTGGTAGTGAAGTCGATGATTTTGTGTATTGCTAATGTGCATAGCATTAGTGACTATAGATTAGTTAATGTATGTGTCGTTCTTCAGTTGTCCACGATCTGTAATCTAGACTTATAGCCGCTTTAAAGGGCGCTATTGTTTTAGACATGGGCATCATGTGTTGCTGTGTTCACCTTGTTGATTTCCCTTGTGTCATTTTTTTTAGGTCTCGGATGAAGAATGACGACAAAACCTGGTGACTTTTAGGATGTCACTTTCAAAGTTTGAAGTGGAAGAACTTTGTCAAATGAACATTGTTGTTCTAGAGGAAATCGGTGATTATTTAGAGATTAGCAAAAGGATTATGTTTTGCCAACATTATGATTATGTTGCTGTGAAATTCTGCGTTTGCAGAGAATTATAATTTCGCAGCAACATAAACCATAGTATGCACATTGAGACAAAAACCTTCAGAAAGTGGTTGTGGGTTTGAATCCATACGTCAACAAGACAATTAGTACTAAATTAATGTTATTAATTGCTCTATGTATGAAGTATTTGTGCTCATTTCACTCATCACCCTCCACTACTAAAATAACAAGACGTACTAAAATCAATTAATTTACACAAGTTCTTGATTTAAATAAACATCTACCACAAGCATTTTTACTCAGTAAATGTACAAATCCACAAGTAGGGGCAATTCCTTGGTGGCCAAACAACAATATGATCAAGAGCCATTCATTTCTAATTTAACTTGCAAATTGCAAGATGGGTAACATTCTCTACCATCCAGTTATGCCAGAAGACAAAAAACATTTAGTTCTTCTTTTCGATTTTTTTGAATGATTGTCTGGCGTGTATTGTAGCTGGCTATATCTTGGAGACCGATGTACTATGAATGTTGCTCAATTCCTGCATCGTTGTAACGATCGTCATGACATCCACTAATATTGCTGCGAAATCTTGCGTTTGCAGTGAAGAATCGCAGCTTAAGCAGGTAGGGATGCACATCTGGAAGCTGTTTTACCACTGTCAACCCCATTGAGAATAGTTTTTGGCGCACAGCATTGAGAACGACTGTTGCAGCGTTGTGTGTTCTTTTCTGTGAATACTGTGAAGGTGAGATTTTTCATTTGGTGGCAGAATAGAAAACTCCTGCATGAAGCTCTGGTGTCCGTGTGTCACATTTTGACACGTCGTTGAGGTGGTCGACCATGTCGCTACCTCGAGTTTACTTGCGTGAGCTGCCCAACTCGCTGTTATGGTCCTTCGAGTTTCAAGGTATGGCTTTCTATTGTTTCCTGCCCATAGCCTGGAAATCTGACGTTTTAGTGCCACCTGCTCGCCGCCGACTCTACAGATGGCTGCCTCAACTTCTAGTGCGAGACTTGCGATCTTTGTTTCTATAGTTGATTGATTTCTACAGTTCAGTGATAAATGAAACTCGGTTTTATCCATCTGCCCCATCTTAGCAGCTTCTCTCCAATGGCCGGATGGTGTCATTGCGGCTCCATTCTGCTCGAGTTTCACGGCTTGGAGAATCGTCTATCGCAAACATAGAATCTGACATTGCCCTGAAACTCTTGATGTTGTTTCAAAGTACTCGTAATCCCCAGATCTCTGGGTGGAAGCAAACTCTTTCAGGAACTCTAGACGCTATTGGAAGTGAGGAGAGGACTCGATGCACTTGAAATTGTGTTCTTGATTCAAATTTAATTGCAGAACACTTTACGTTATTTTGTGAGCTCGGGAGTTTCGTGAGCTCAACATGGAACTCAATCCTGCCCTGAGACGGAACCATTGGAGTCAGCCCCATCACGCCAACGCACCCATACGGATCCCCATCCAAGCTCCAGCGCCGACATAATTTGATCCAATCTGCACCTCCTTTTGCTCAGTTGAGTCAAGCACAGATAATCCTCAGACGAATCCCCGAACTAGAACTCGATTCAACCATTTGTTACGATTAAATTGGTCCAGGTGGGGATCGTACCAGTACATCTTCCATAAATCGACTGCAATATCGTGCATGAAATGTTGAAGCATTCGACAGCTTCTGTAACTGCCAAGATTCATGGATGACTAGTGTCTGTGCCCTAGTTCTCAAAACTGAGCACACAGGGTATTGCCGGCGATCGTCCATAAAACAATCTCACCATCTGTCTCACAATTTTTTGCAGCTCATCACAAGAAAAGCTCATGGTTGAGTACTCATGGCGATGAGCTCAGTTGCTGAAGGTAAAAAAGAAAACATAACCTTTGTGTCTCAATCTCTGATAATGGTTTTATCTTTTTCATATTGCATAAAAAACTTTGAATTCATGGATGTGTAAGTATATATCTATCTATCTATCTATCTATCTATATATGAACATATTCATTTATCCACGTTCCACTCTCAATAATGGTGGATGTACCCACCTTTCAATTGAAAGGTACACAATTGTCGTCTTATCCAAACACACACACATACACACACATGGTTGAATCGGCAATCAGTTCTTCCAATTTTCAACGTCACCAGTGCAGCTCCTTTGCAAAAAAAACAACACCGATGTCACTACTAGCGGTCTCTTCGCCACTGAAGCATTCCATACTCTTCAACAATAGTATTTTTGTTTCATGATCCGCTCAGTTGACAAAAGCATGATAGGATAGAATCGGTGTCTAGATGTCGGCATCGGTGTAACCTCATCCATCAAGCAAACCAAACGCATTTGAGAGTCTGTATCTCTAGAAAATTTTCAAGCATTGGAAATGGACAATGAGTGAGCCAAACTCTTGGGCTCCACCTCAGCACCACGATCTAACTTATGATTTTGTGGGTTCAGGGTTTAGGGTTGCTCAATGGCAAATCTATTGTGTGATAATGAGCTGTGGCATCGTCTTGTTAAATCAACCGTCACTCTGTAGACGTGGAAGATGTTGCTCATCGCAATTAGGCAGAGGCTCTTGAACAATGGAACAATAGTTTAGGATCCAAATGACAAGTGTCAGATTTTGTTTTCTTAAAACTTGATGAACTTTTTTCTGCATAAGTTGAGATTAGTTTTTGTTGTGAAGAGAACCATTCTTTTTGTTCGCAAATTGTCACCAAACTTATGGCATATGCTAGAAGAATGATATATTTTTAATATCCTTCAACCCAAAATATGTGAATGAGGAGTTCCAATTTCTTCAACGTTACAAACACATGCCTTTTAAAGATGGGATGACTTGTGTATGTATTGTTAATTGTTTTCCTGTGTTTCTCTGAAATTGTATGCAGGTATATAATGGTAATTTGCACATGAACATATAAACTGAATTACAAAAACTCTCACATAATCAGGAATATCAATGGATGTCAAGCAATATTATTTCACACTAAAATATTCCATCACATCCCCCCACACATACATACATACACACACATATATATACAAAAAAATGGCTAAATTATATTTTTCATTTAAAAAAGTACTACAAAAAAATATATCATTTTTGTGGACAAAAGAATAATGCCAATGAAAAATTTATGATGGTTCAAAATGGGAGAAGCACATAGAAATGTACCATAACTTTGGGGAATGACAGTGGGCATTGTTCTACTGAGCTCTCATAAGAAAGTACTAGAGAAGGCAATAACAGAGGAACTAGAAAGGGAGTACAGTTGCCTTGTGGAGTTTGTTTGAATTCAATGGGCCCTGCTCTATCCAATGCCATTCCTTTACTATTTTTATTGCTTTCATTAGTATATGCAAACATACAAATATAAATGTGTATGTTTATCCCTAATGTGATAGATACATGGTAAGTTTATCCTTAAGCTTCTTGAACTACATCTATATACTTTTATTTGTAATGGTTGGTTGAAGACAAGGACTTAAAGAGTTTGTTGTGATTCTAATAATCTTTTTGTGAACTTGGGAATGTTTGTGAGGCAACTTTTTTATAACATGTTTATAAATATTAATTCATTTAATAAGACAATAGTTTTTTGAGTCTTTTTGGAAATTGATTTTGTTGATTTGCAGCAGTGATTATATTTTAAATAAATGAGACATTATTTTATATGTATTAGTAAAAAATATAATAATTAAAAATATTAATTATCAAATTTTTTTTTACATAGTTTGTAAATAAATCCATGTTTGTTTCTTTGTACAAAATTCTAGAGATTCTAATTTTCATAAAACTGACATAAATAAATAAATAAACAATTTTATACTTTTAGGTATTATTTTAAAAAAAACATCTTTTTAAAAATCTTTGTGGTTTTCTTTTAATCCTAAAACCTATGATATAAAAAATAAAGAAATAAAATATATTCAAAGTCATTAAAAAAATTAAAAAATAGATGTAGAATTAAGAAAAGTATTAAGAAAAGTAAATTAGGCCTTACTCTTGCTTCTATATATATGTCATGGACATACTTATAAATTCCAATAATTATTTTAATAATATGAGTAAGTAAAATTAGATAAACGTAAATAAATTTAATTATATCTTATAGAGTATAGATGTGGCTTTGTTTTTATACATGTCTATAGATGATTGATAGGTTAAAAACTTGATCAACAAGTTGGCCATGTGTTGCATATGTTGGCCACTTGTAGTACAAGTTGAATATGTAGTATACATGTAAGAAACTTGCTTTGGAAATTAGACACATGTTCTGTAAGTTAGATACATGTTTGATATTTTATAGAACATCATAATGTAGCTTCTAATTAGATAGTATATATAGATGCAAGAGTGAGGCCTTTCTCACTCTTGTTAATTCTTTTCTTGCTTCTAGTCTAGTTTAAAGAGTCTTTATTTTTCTAGTCATTTATAAAAACCATTATAATTTTTTTTAAAAAAACATATTTTTACTTATTTATTTTTTGTTATATTTTTTTAAAAAATAATTTATTTATTTATTTACATTCTTTAAGTGGTTATATTTGAAAAATTTATAAGAATATATGCATAATATTAGAGCTTAGTCTTTTCTTAATTAAAAATAGATTACTTTTTTTTATAAGACATAAGCATATTAGAAGTTATAGATTATCTACTTTCAAATTAATATTATTCTTAGAATATATTTTTTGTTCTTAAGTCTTTTTTTCTACTTGACTTAAGCAATATTAGGCATTTTTTTTATTATGCTATTATAATAGAGCTTGTTAAAATAAAGAATATAGTGGCATAAAAACAAGTGCAAATGAGAGAATTAATGCTTGTAATGCATCAATCCAATCTACTACAAAAAAAAACAATAAGATTGGAAAAAATTAAAGATATTGAAATGATTGGAGCTACTTCAATATCTACACCAAATCATATTACTATTTTTATGGTGGAACATTATTTAAGCACTAAAAAATCAAAAATTACCTTACTTAAGAAGTTTGATAGTATAAGAATAAAGTTTTAAGGATTCATCAATCAAGTATAATTGGTGATTGAACTTCAATCTTAAAGCTATTTTGTTCTAAAATTACAAGTCAAGTTTATTAGAATATTACTTCAAATTCTGCTTTATCATGATTTTTATTATTTTTTAAA